AGGAACAACAGGAAAAAAAAAAGGCCCCAGAGCCCAGCTGGCCACGCACTGTTTCTGCTGTCAGAGTCCACAGCGGTATTTATCAACCAACCAAAGAGGCCACACCGTGTGCCAGGGAAGCTTTTGTGACGGTTGGATCCCAAGCTATTTCTGTATAATAGGCTCTGATAACAGGCCCTGCTATATACTGCCTTCAGCTAACAGCCAGAGGAAGTGAAGTCACTCTGCATGTGAACAACTAGAAGTCAGTCACCTAGCAAGGAACAATTCTGCTCCGCCACAATAGCTAATTACAAAGTAGCCAGCCCTAAGGAAAGCACGGCTTACAACAATGGTGGGCGCTTACCTGCACTCAGTTCACTACAACAAGGAATTAAACATTCGTTCTAGGTAGCATTTTTGCAGGGGAGAGAAACTCCTTTGATTCTTACAATCTGAGTCGGCCCCATAAAAGGTACAGCAGAAACAGCGTTAAGAGGAAAGATCTCTCTCAGTGCAGCCTGGTTTGAGAAAGCTGTCATTTCTACCGCTGATTAACAACCTTCTAAAAAAGGAGGGAATTGCTTTATGTGGAGTTTCCAGGTAGGAACTTAGCAAGGCGTCACAGGTCAAACGAACCTGCCTTGGCTCCAGTTTATTTATTCTAAATTTTAACTATACAGTGGATTTGAACTGAGGCCAAACCGGGCACGCCGTCCTTCCGGAGGTAGCTTCTTTCGCACAGTCGGTACAATGTGGCCGAGGCAGCCAACGACCCTCTGAGCTTACCCTGATCCAGTGAATTGACAGTTTGGTCCAGCTGGAGGAGGGACGTGAACAGAACTGCAGGAGCCCGTCCCGCATGCCTGACAGTACAGGCGCTGTGTCAGGTACATCCTCCTCCCCCCTGCCTTAACTCTGCATCTGATCACTGGGAAACTGGTAAAAATAAGGCGGCATCCTGGGACAGAGGTGTCTTGTAACAAGCCTGTTTGTTTACTTAATCATCTACCTTCTGTGGGAGAAGCTGGTCATTTTATCAGGTCATAAAACCAGGGAGACCAAGCTGAGGAAGGGGATGAAAATTAAACAAATTCCTTATTTCTGGCTACTGTGATGGATGCACTCGACTCCTTAACCAAAATAGTGGTAGTTTGGTTCAGGCTCCAAGGGAGGTAAAGGCCTAAGCCATAACCGGGCCAAGAACGTCTCTAGGTCCGATCTGTTCTGTGAAAACCCACAAAGGAGCAGTGACCATCGATGCATATGAGCTTGGAACACCACATGAATAGCGGGTGGCTTTTCCACGACTCATTTATCAAGGAACAAAGAAAGTTGCGGGTACAAGGAGTCTCACGCATACCTCTTCCATCGCATGGAATTCGACTACAAGCCAACCACTTTATTCCATAAATATGACAGCCCAAGTGAGCCGCCTTTGAGCTCTCCCTGCTAAGCAGCTGGCTGCGTGGCGGTGATCTCCCCTTGAGCTGGGACGCCTCTCAATGTTGCTCCTCGAGGCTGAGAGACCTCTCCCCAACTCCAGATCTTTGGTAAGCGACTGACATCGCGCATAACCTTGTATCATGGTAACCTTGATTTCTGTCTTGATAGTTTCGAATCATTGTTATATCCTTTGTGCAGTAAGAGCGAACCTTGCTGGCGTTGCACTTTTACAACATCGTAATTCAGTGAAGCCACTTTTGCTGATACCTTTGACAGTGGTCCTTTAAGCAGTCTAAATCGGCCATTCACAACAAATTGGCATAGTTGGCAGGATCCTAAGTCGGGATTTGTGACAGCTACCTGGTGACGGGACCTTCATACAAGTCAACATACCTCCACCATGCTAACCTAGCAGCGCTTCAGCTGTCAGCTGAGAGTTACAATTGTTTTTTTTAATGTATAAACACATTCATTAGGTTTCAGTAACCTAAAAATATCAAGACTGGGGGCTATAGGAACTGCTTACTTGGGTCCACATCCTTGCAGTTTTATTAGTGGCTTTTAAAGGCACATATAAAATGACTCAATGTCCAAGAATGGCAGTCAGAGATCAGTAGTGGAACTGTATTAAACTAGCAGGGGAAATCGGACAGTCATGCCTGTTTTAACCTGTTCAAAATATTAAATGGAAAGCAGAGCTCTAAAATTGAGGAAGGCGCCTCAAAGGCGGTTTGTAGAGAAACACTGGAAAAAGAGCTTTCTCTGCAACACCAATTCTAAAGAGCTTTAATGAGCCCAGGAAGCTACAACAACTGTTTGGATCAACCATTACTTTGAATTCAACAACCAGATTTGTTGATAACCTCAGCCCGGTAAAGACACGTTTTCTCCAAAAAGGAAGCTAAAAGTCTTCCATGGCAATACACTGTGTAGCAAGAGTTCACCATTCCCTTGCTTCATCTGTCACATGTTTTGCTTTGTGTGATGGCCAACTGATATCCGATACCTGAAACTGCTGTGTGTTTTGTTTGAGCTTTCACACGAGGCTTCCCGGCCAGGACACCACAGTAAGCGTGACTTTGTTCCTTTGCTCCTTCAGCATCGGGATTAGTTCAGAGTTGCTCATTCCTATCGCTGGCACTCCATTTACTGCCACTATTTCATCTCCACACCTAATCAGAAGACAGGAAACATGCTTGTCAGGACATATTTAATTATTATTAACACTGCACCCTAGGACCCCTAAGGTCATCTAGCCTACCCTGAGCCAAGATCATCAACTCTCTGTTGAAGCAACTTTTTCCACTCGATGAAAGGTTAGGGGCAAGGAACGGATGCAAGCAGAGGGAGTGGTTGCTGTCAGAGTCTTGCTTCTGAGTCAAAGCGGGCAAGGGAAAAGGAGGGCACTGCTGGTACTTGAGTGACACAGCAGTGAAGGTCACCAGCAGCGTGACCGGCTGGCCAGTCAGCAGAGGGAAAAGTTACAGAAAACAAATCCGTGCTGATAAACACACTCATCACCAAGGTTGCTCCTACAGCTACTTGACTAGCAATCACTAAGGTGAAGTGCTCACGACGCTGAAGCATGCTGTCACGTTGTAGCTCAATACAACAGAGGTTTCAGAGCCCCGCCTGATCTGCCCACCTCCATGGCGCACCAAGCTATCTTCTGAGTGGTCGTACCATTCAGCTGTGATGACGAGAGGTGCTGAAGCCAGCCAGCTACCTTCCTAATGTCTAATGGGAAAAGTGCATTGCTGTCCTAGCACTCAAACAGGAACCCAGCTGACCCCAGTCCTCCCACCAAGGCTCTGACCCAGCTCTGTTCTTTCACACCATTTTCGGGGGAGCAAAGCCCAGCTCCCTACACCAAAACTATGTCCCCTGCAAGACAGCAGCCTCGCTTCTATTTTTTACAGTCCTGCACTTGCCGCCTGGCTGCATGCTTGCTGAGAAGCCAGCTCTGCTGGTTCCCAGAGATAACATTGCAAGAAAGTTCCGTGGGGTCCTCCGGCTCCACTATTGACTCCTCCACTCGCTGCAATTACTAACAGGTCAGCAAAGCTCGTTTTAAGTTTCCTGCACAGGAGGGCTTTTGTTGCTTCCATTGGGATACTTTTCCTGACCCAGGAGATTTTATACTCTGGAACCTCCATGATTCATCTCAGACATCCCCTTTCTAGTCAATTGGAACCTTTACAGCCTTTTAAAAGGTAACTGTTAATTCTTTTTAGTTGCACCTTTATAGAGAAACTGAAACACTCATTAGTATAGGACTTAGTTTGTTACAACTTTGGTAACAGTATTAACTGCACAAATGAGTGTCTAAGAATTAGAAGTCATTAACTTTTAGCTCAGCTAGTTAAAAGGGTAAAAGACAGACCCTCAGTAAAATGGTGCATGCTGACATAAGTACCGATCGCGTTCCTGACACAAACACCAGAGACCCGCAGGGCAGCTCATACGTACTTCAGTTTCCTGTCTCGGAAGGCAGGAGTCCCAGGCACTATGGTTTTGATGAAGAATGGCTGGTTTCCTTTGCTTTCCTCAAAGCCTCCAACAATGCTGAAGCCCCAGCTTTCCAGGTTACCTTTACTAAGGACAATATCTTGACAGCAGTGAAGGTAGCTGTGAAGACAGGCACGGTCAGAAACAGAGAAAGCTTATGAGTGTGTTTCAAGGAAAACTGCTTAACCAGAAAATTATGTTTTCCCTTGCAGACAGCGCAGAATTATTTTCTTTTTTTAAGGACGTGAGGCAACCCCTTTGCAGGGCGTGTTACAGGGATAATTCTCAAATCTGAAGATGCCAGTCCTTTAGAAATCTTTTTCTCAGTATTGTCAGTGCTAGTTTAAGAGTTAACAGAGAATTACCATTCTCTAAAGGGGTTTGTGACCTGAAAGATTCATGAATAACTTCATGAATTCTACTAATGAACACGCACAGTACTAGTGACAAAAACAAATTAGTCGTGAACAGCAGTTACACCCATGCAATTAATGAGAATAGAGCTTTTTTTAATTCTATCTATATACCACCACACGCTTGGTACAATGAAGGCATTCAGCAGCTATGTATCACTGATGGAAAGCAAACATAGGAGGTATGGCAGCCTTTCTTCTACTAACTACCAAATCAGAGTATGAAAGGTCTTTCCTGCTGGACCTACACCCAGGATTGCTGTATACAGTAAGAGACTGGACTCCCCGGAGAGAGATCACAGGCCACTGTTTTTGAATGCCAGCCACTGAGGTTATGTCTTCTCAGTAAGCCTGGAGTATGCTGCAATGCTAGGGCTGCCTTGGAGAATGCGATACGTAAGTGCTAACAGCACTTGCTCCTTGAGTTTGTAGCACAAAGACCTGCAAAGCCTTTGTGAGGAGCCTGAAAAGGTGTGGCAGGAGCGCAGGCAAGCATCTCGTGTACTCTGGCTCGCAGTCAGGTTACATTCTGGCACCAAAGCGCTGCCAGAGATATGATGTGTGAAACTGCTGCTGATCACCCCACTGAGGTATTCCAGCAGCTAAACTTTTCCTAGTAAACGTTTTTGCCTCAAGGGCTTTGCTTGAGCAGTTTGCAGATGAGTTTCAGATTTCAAAAGCCTTCTCAGTTAACTTCTCACTAGGAGAAAGATCCAATTATCTACTTTCAAACTGTAATTTACTTTTGTACGAGTTCTTCACACATAAACGCTGGAAGACCCAGTTCTAGCTTACTGATACCTCCATGGTTTTCTTCTACAGGTACCACACAAGCATAAAAACACAGCGATGAGAAATGTATGTGGCAACTAGTGCAAAAAAATAGCCCAGAGAACAAGAGTGGCAAGCACTACATCAGCACAGAACATAAATAAAAACATTAGACACATTCTCCAAGAGTTGGAAAAGGCTGTTTGCTAGAAACCAGTTTTCCATATGAAAAAAAAGTTTCTCTTCCTAAAAACCCTATTTACTATAATGGACAATGACTGTGGGAGAAGAATTTTAGACTTTACAGAAAGTAAAAGGTGCAAGTTGTATTGTGACAAACACCCTGCTGAGTTTGCAGTTCTGCATCCCTTTCAGAGTTTGCGGAGTGCGCCGCTCCAGTGGGGCCGTGGCAGGGAGCGCCTAACAGTTGTTGCAGAAAGAGCTCAGACTTCATGGAGACTGGCTTCAGATAAACCTCAAGAAGGCAGGAGGAAAACTGCTTTTCCACCCCCTGAGAATTATCCGTAAGCCACGCTGTGCACGGTCACTGTTTTCAAGAGTCAAAGCTTTTTTACAGAGAAAAGATAAATCAATCTGTAAACTTGGTATTTCTAGTATCTTTAGGATTCAGTGTGCATTGAATTAGGACACACACCCTCTCCAAAGCAGCGTTTTGAGATGGTGTTTTATACTATCAGTAGCTGGTACTGATTTAACATAATACTATGAAGAAATCCAGTAAAGTTCCTGTGCTCTCTTCTGTGACATACACAGTGATGATGATAAACATTCAGTAGCAATAAGTAGTAGCATACAATTAACTTGGAACACTCACCGCCACCATTAATAACAAAGCAAAGAATGGAGAAAGAGTAAGTTTACAAGGACAGTAGAGCTACCCGCAGTTGTATTACAAGACAAAAAAATCCAAGAAAGATACCAGCCACCTGGTTCAGTACAGCCAATACTAGTTGCCTGAGGTTAGACAGAAGAATATTACTACACTGTCCCTCTTACGGGGATGTTTGTATCTTCATTGGAAGTGTGCAGCACTGGCTATAGTCAGAGGTGGAAGATGCTCCAAGCTTGCACACCAAATGCTGTGGTGTGAAAGTAGCCTTAGGAGCACAGAGTGGTTTTCTTTTAGGAAGAACGTGACCAAGATGCTCATGTTATTCCCTCTGTTACCCAGGGTCCCAAGAAAGGCACAGGACGAGGGCTGTCATCTCTCTCCTAAAACGCTTCTGCAACGGTAGTCTGGCACGTAACCCAAGTTCTGTAGATGGGCTACAGGGGCCCCACATTTCAGAAACAGCACATCACCAAGTGTGCCGAGATGAGAGACAGTATTTGACATAAACAGAAAACCACAGATACAAGAATCAAGGCTAGAATTAAACGCTGTGGGCTCAAGTGTTGCAAAGACTGAATACACTTCCCTAGCCTTGAGCACTAACTTCAACTCCAGTCTTTCAGCATAAAGTTTGGCTTCAAACTAGAAAGAAATACATGGGTTTCTTCTAAGGAGGAAAGGATATTTCTGCTGGATTGGAGTAGTAACTGCAGGGGGAAAAAAAAAAGCTGAACAAAACCAAAATCGCACATGCCATCAGCAATAAGCTTTAAACTTTCACACTGTACTGCAAAATGTTTTAGCGTACTGAGGCTATGTCTACTTTAGCAGGGCAGCCCAAAAGGAACAGATCTGAGTGAAACAACTAGTGCTGAGGACACAAGGTCTGGTTTTGGCACATTTCAGGGGATTTTCTGTAATCTAGTTTTGGTGTTGTACACACAGGGTCTGTTTGTGCCACAGTGCAACGGGCATTCCTCTGCAGCACTTCTGGTTTAGTCCCATTCAAAAGGAACCCAGCTTGTGCAAGTCAAGACCTCTCTGCAACGTGAACTACAAACAGCAAGTGAGGACAACTGGGATTCTCGCTTCAACAGCACGTTCCTGTGCCAAACTAAAACGCGAGCGTAGAGGCATCCTGAACATTTCCAGGTGACAAACAAGGGTACTATTTCAGTTTATTTTTAATTATTGCTTGAGAATCTGTAATCTGATTGTGCCAGCTACAACATCAAATATAAATACCTTGCTTAGCTGCAAAAGGCAGATTCTTAGTGGCTTTAGGGAAATCGCTCATTCTATGGACGACCAGCTAGTTGCTACCAGGTCTTACTGTAAGCAGATGGGAAAATGAGTGAGGAAGCATAAGAATTACAGCCATTTTTACTACTGGAAACAAGAAGGAAGATTTTGTCAGGTCCTGAAGTGACATAACCTTGCTTTGTGCCTCCTAACCACCCTCACACCCACAGAAGAACAGCAGACAAATTCAGATGCCTGAATTCAGTTCAGAGTAAGAAAGGAAGACTGAAGAGCAGAAAGGGCATCCGAAATCATTGCTTTCTGCTTCAGTAGCCAGGTACAGTAACAGTCAAGTAAAGGGGGGGCAACATTAATACCAGCAGCAAAAGAATTTCAAGCAATGTATTAAATAGCAGGTAATGCCAGTATACTCCTGAAATGAAGACAGGTGACCAATGAGCGAAGAGTGGACTCCAGTCCCTGTAGCAGAAAGCGTGGTGAAGCTGCAAGCCACCAGACATCCAAATAAATTGGAAAAGGAAGAAGGGAAAGTACAGCCAGGTTTTGCCTTGCTATACTTCACTGCAGGAACACCCATGAGGAACAAACACCAGCCAGCATCTGAGGGTTTGTACTGGAATTTGGGTTATCCAGGTACAGCTCAGGCTAGTTCATACTAAGCCTGCACAGAACAGACAGGCCGATTCCCTGGGAGAGCAGAGGAAACTGGTAGGACGGTGCTGAATACAAGCCAAGTTACAGTTGCTTGAGACACAAAAGCTACCTTCCTTGGGCTGTTTGTTTAGCATTTACAGGCTGCTACGTAACACAAGGGTAACATAACAGAGGTTTTGTTAGTATTTCTTCTCTCGGGTGCCTCAAGAAACAAGGCTGTAAATAATCCGAGCTTCCCACAGAAGGGTTTGGCTTTACTGTTCCATGTGTATCTCCTGCATGATCCTCCTCCGGTCAGCTGGAATAACAACAGACCCTACCTTTCACAGCAGAACATTATTTTGATGAAACTGCAAAAGTGAGCAAACCAGAGGTTCACCTCTCCAGGAAGGCAATAGAAATTCAAGTTTTCAAAGCCCCAACCCTGTCATCTGGAACTTAACCATGTTGCTGCTAAAATCTGTGCTAAGTCTACGGTCCAAAGCTTTGCAGCAGGAAACTCAAGCAGAATCATTTCTGCTTCATGCTAAAGATGACACAATTATGACAGCCAAAAAGAATCAGACTGAAAGAATGCCTGCCCCTGAGATGATCAGATTAAAAACTATAAAACAGTATAGGTATCTACTGGCTTCTGTTATGTGATCCAGAAAGAGCCACAGAGTCATTTCAGTTAATGATATTTTAGCAGAGATTAAATACAAGCAGACAAGTATCTACGTTGACTATATGTCAACTCGATGCCTCAAATGCCAGAATCTATACTTCCCATTTTCTGTGTCAGTTCTCTTAGAAAAGGTTTCCAGGAACTTCTGGAATATGGTTACTGTCCAACAGAAGTGGGAGAACAATGGGTCACACCATAAAAAGCAGTAGAATTTTCTCATGTGTTCATTATACTGTGATCTTGTTGACAAATAAGGCTTTCCACTGCCTTAGAGCCAAATGAGAATACCAGTAATGCTTCCAAGTCAACCAACAAAGCAATTAATTTCTAGTGTTTGAGTGAAAATCAACTCTGTGATTGAACAGATCTCTATACGGTCACTGAACAAACGTACCTAGGCAATCCGAGCCATGTGATCCAGAGGGGAGACCAGCTGAATCCTTGCTCCTTGATGTCCAGAGATGGCTCTGTCGAGTTCAATGAAAGGATTTCCAAGGCTTTCAGTATGACTGAGTGGGAAGCTGCGTTAGATTTCAGTGCTGAGACAGCTTCATAGTAGTTCAGATGAGTCAAATCAATGCCATTTATGCTTAAAAGTACATCTCCTGTTGATTAAACAAGATAGGATTACAGACCTTTTGCTATGAAGCCCATTTCTGCCTCAAGGTCTCATGTGGAACCCTGTTTCCAGCCTCACTTTAGTGTCCAAGTCCAACCTCCACTGAAAAAAAAACCCCATTCCTAAAGGATAAAGGGTCTGAGAGCCTCCTTACCTCGCTTGATTCTGCCATCCCTGAAGAGGCATCCGATGGGCTGCACACTCGTTACATATATAGGGAGCTTGTTTTTGTTATCCCTTCCGCCTCCAATTGTTATTCCTAAAGATTCCTTTGGTTCCTTTTTTATTGCAACTGTCTTTTCATGACTTATGTATCCCTGAGGTAAATCCTACAAAGGAATGACAGTACAAAATGCAGCTTCATTAGTGCAATTAACATGAGAAGCCCAGATCTGGAAGAAAATAACAGAACATCTTGTATCTTTAATCAAGAACATTTCAGCAATGTTGCCAGATGGCAAAGTCAGCTTCTCACGTACTTGCTCTGGGTAGAAATACTACCCTGTATTTCCAAAGTGATACCACCACAACTGAGGCACTGCTCTCCTAACGATCTCACATTCATTTGCCGTAGAGATGCGCCCTCTGAGGAGAACGATTTTGCACTGAGGAGCAAGCTATGAACTCATTTCCAGGCCGTTCATATCAAGCAACCAACCTCTCTCTGACTACTACTAAATGTTTAGGTTGTGGTGAAAGCACGCATTAGAGCATATGCTGTAGAAACAATATGTAAATTATATTCTAGGATTTAAATCAAGGAACCAGACTCCAGCCATTTATGACAGCTACTTACTAAACTCCAGAGACATTTAAACATAAAAGTCTAAGCAGTTGTAGCAAGTTTTCTCACTCAAATGGAAGTTCTAAACACAGAGCAAATCTCTCTTGGTACAACAGACTGGCGATTCTCCTCTTGCTCATAGTGTTTCTTATAATATGCAAACGGATGGCAGAAGCAACACTGAAGTCACAGGAGCACTACCGTGTAATTTGTGTAGTTTCTACTTCTGTACCATAAAGCCCTCTAGCTCCAAACCAGAAGTGTAACTTAGTGTCATCGTGTAACGCCCTGAATGTGTTGTGCTTGATGGATGTCAAGAAGCAAGTCCCAAGCGTCTCATGGATGGTAAATTTCCCATTGCCCTTTCCAGACAAGGAAGGATTAATCACTGGTTCTGTATCAACATTAGAGACATTTGAAGAAGTTTTGACACGTTTTTCCCTAAAAACTGTTTCCCAGTAGATGACAAACATACGGTTCTCCAGTACCAAAAGCCACAAACCTGCTGCTTTTCAATAGCTCAAGAAGAAACGGAGCTACTCATCAGTCTTGTAGGATAAATTGCTGTCACAGAGCAAACATAATAGATCTGCTAGACCAAGAATAACCAGCACTTTTGCCGTTATTTACAAAACTTACCTTCTGGTAGTTAGATTTTCGTCTATAGTGATTCTGGTCTAGTCGTCTCCGATGGTGCACCGGGCTTCCTCCATTGCTACTGCTGCTGCTGCTGCTGTTATTTGATGTGCTGCCATCTTCCACTGGGTCCGACAGCTGTACACCTGGCTGCCTCAAGACAACAAAGTTCACTCTTGATTCAGTGGTCTGCCAGGAGAAACAAAAAGAGTGTAAATAAAATAGAAAAATAAATCAGAAATTAGGGACAGCCCCTGTCATTTTCTTGGGGAGAGAGAAGGGTTGGTGTCGGTTTCTACAAAAGGTCTAAAACAGGGCTACGCAACACGATGCCATGGTTTTTGTGATGAGCCACAGAATCCTATGGTGAAGAGAAAAAAGGAATTAGCAAATGTTAGTCAGAAGGAACAGGAGTAGAGGCAGGCTTCACTCATGCCTCCCTCCCCTACAAATGCCAAACAAGAGAAAGTGGAAAGGGATGATTAATTCCTCCACTTCAGTACAAATAACCAAAGTAGCATATTGTGTTGCGATACAAAATGAACAGAGCTAGAACGCTGACTGGTGCACATGATGGATGACCGTGATAGAGTACTGGATGCTTTTTCTTTTATTGTAAAGAAACTTGTTAAAGCTCTTTCCTTCCCAGCTTATGTACCATGTCTATTGTTCAACATCTCCCACCCATTTTTTTCCCAGAGTACCTGAAGACATGACCTTTTGTCTAAGATTGCTGCCAATTAAACACTTAACCAGCTGTATGTCTGGCCTTGGCAGAACTACAGGGAAAGTATTCACTATTGTTACTGCTCTTCTAATTTGGTTTGTTCTTTCAGATAATTTGACAAAACCTTATTGTGAAGGACTCCATTGGGGTAAGGTGGTGTGCTGACTTGGGGCATTTCCTGCAACGGACGAGAGAAGTACGGTTGCCTCTCTCTCTTCGTGACATGGGACCCTGTTCCCCTGGTGCCACAGCACCCTGGCAGCAGTGAATTCCCTGGCCTCGGAAGAGGGACTGCATCAACTGGCTTGGGTTTTTTTCTTTTTAAACTAGCACAGGAGACTTTTGTTTTCTGAAACAGAATTTAAAAGCCTCTTGCCTCCAAAGTCACTTCAGATAGAGCAATTTTTTTCCAGACAAGTTGGCACACATCCATGTCTTCATAAAATATATCGTAAACATCACGTCCTAAAATGGGGATTTGCCCTCCCCTTCAACCAGGATTACCAGACTTATGTACAGTACATATGGCTGTGCATATATATATATATAGCTGTAAATGGTACTTTACAATACAGGTAAGAAGGACTCTTTTCTGCAAATGGTTTGCAATCAAAATTAAAATTACATTTAGCCAAGAATTTGAATTAGCCCTCAGAAGAACAGATAATGTTTGGAAGACTGTCACAGTGTTACACAAACGTCACTTCAAAAGGAATTCAATCCCCAAACCTACTGAAGCTGGTTCAGAGACTTTGGTTACCAATTTCAGTGGTATCAAGAAAGACTTCCTCATGTGGGAGTTATGCTTGCACATTACAACAGAAATACAGCAGCACTTAATGGGATGCAAACAAAATTCTAAGAGGCCATAGAATGGAATCATATATATAACATAAAAAAGGATCTCGGTACTGGAACTCTGCTCTTTCTCTTCTTTTCTCCCATACCACTGCACCCCTCTGCTGATTACCAGGAAAAGAACTGGCTCTCCCTCACTCTGCTGACCTCAGATCCTTTCCGGGATATAAACAGTATGTGATGAGATGTATTGTGTCAGGATCTTTAGATAAAAACAGAAACTGGAGGTCATCGCCTAGGGAGATAAAGAATTTAAACTGATCTACATGATATCTGCTGCACACGTAGCAATCCTTAATCCTTAACCAAAATTCCTTGCCCACTCCTTTCACCAAAACATTTGGCATGCTGCAACAGGAGCACATGTCTATTGCACAGGGAAAGACAACCTCTCTTCTACCCGTTTAGTATTTCAGAATGTTTTTAGCCTGAGGTGCCTCATGTTGTTTTCTAGACTCCCTTCCCAAATAAGGGTAAAACAGGGAGAGAGGGCTTCAAATCAGTCAAAAGGGTTCTGTTCTGTGCTGCCAGCCTATCACATCTCCCAACAAACACCTTCAGTTTGACTGTTTGAAGCACGAGAGGCTGTCCTAATCTTTGTCTCTGCTGCATGCATCTACACAGTGCATACGAATATTCACTCTGCAAGAAAGGCTCCGAACACCACACCACAAAGGAGATCCAATTGCCTTAGCTGAAGTACAGCGCCATGAGCAACTGCCTTGCTGCAGACTTGTCAGAGATGACTCACGATGGATTCCCACTCTTCATGTTTATCTTCATTTGGAAGTGGTGCTTCCCACACACCTGCAGGGGAGTCACTTTCCCAAAGAGATATTTCAGGGAATGCAGTTTGCTCTAGTGCGTTCTGTTAGCCCTTGGGTCAGAACAGGAGCCCTGCCATCAATGCAGACAGCCATACAACCTCACCACAACATAAATTACCTGTATTATCTGCGCGGCAGCCTCAGGTGTTCCTTGCCTCAAATCCTGGCCATTTATTGACAGGACTCTGTCATTCCGACTCAGCTTTCCGTTTTTGGCTGCCAAACCTCCCTCTAACAGATCTAGAATAAAAATCCCTGCCTCATCTGTCTTCCTGATCAGTTTGATTCCCAAGGGTTCGGATCGGTCTCTCTTTATCAAGGTAACGTGGATCACTTCCCGATTTGTAGCAGAAGTGGAATCCTGCTGTGCAGTCTTACTGGAAAAACCCTTCTCCTGCAGGACCATGAGGTGGAGAACAGGACCTGGGTGGCGCAGAAAGAAGACAGCTTGGCAGTGAGTCACACTGCTGATGTTGACGCCATTCACCTACAAAGACAAACATACCAGAGTCACTAATCAGAACCTACATAATTTAGGCACTGTCCACAGTGCGGAACATCACAAAGTTGGAGATGGGATGTACAACTCCCTGTGCAATGCCGTGACTGAAGCAGCTGCTTCTGATGCACATTAGAAAGCAGAGTTTTCTAAAAAGGAATGCAGAAGAAAGCAGATTAAACTAGACCATAATTGATGGTGAATAGCTGAGGACAGGGACAAGAAAGGACAGCTCTCGTAACTAACAAATCTGAAACTGCAAAATATTAAATCATTACATCCATCCCATGGAAATGCAGAACTGATTTTCCTTAACTTCCAGCGTTCAATACACACTTGGAGGAGAAAACTCAAATTGGAGACTACCCATCCTCACTTTTAAGTTGAAGAGTGGTCCATAGTCTACAAGCTTCTGGAATCATCAGTCTAATCATGCTTTTACCAAGGTAACTCTGAGAAGCTACTTTTCACTTTGTCTGTTGTCACATAAGACTCCTTGCAGTCTTCTTTTAGGATGTTAATAGGGCTACTAGGTGTGGGGACCTGCCCTATTTACAACCCAGTCACGACTGAGACATGTACAATTCAACTGAATAAAACAGAAGTTACTCTATTGGTCTACCTAAGAAACCAACTCGGAGATCCTATTGGCCACTTGTGCACGTGGGGCTGCCAGTCCGTACCGACATCCACAAGTCCAACAGGATAATTAGGTCTTTATGGCTTGTCAAATGATTGGGCAGCCATAGCCGGGAGGTGCTAACAGTTCTCGCTGCATGTAGGCTTTACTGCTGCATACAAGCTTCTGTCGCCTTGATTAGCCCACTGCCATGCAGCCTGATTAATCTGGAAACTAAATCTGGCCGCGGGTCAGCACGGTATGAGGTTGGTGCTGTTTATTACTCATGTTACATATCTGATGCTTACTTCAAGTCGTAAGGTCTTAAACTTTGGACCTGCCCATTGAGAATATGCAGCTTAGGCAACACAGTAGAGCAAGCATTTATAAGACTTCCTAACTAGAGCACAGTCATTTGGAGAGAAATGGTGCTACTGGGTGAAATTTATCAGACAGAAATCTTTTTAATTTATCCAAAATGGTCTAAATTTCAAAAAGTTATCAAATATGCAAGGTAAATATGAATACGACTGGAAGGAACCTCAAAAATCTGCTTCACAGCCCCAGCAGATACACAATGCTACCGACACACAAAAGTTTGATCAGTGCTTTTAAACCCTCAGCTATAGATATTTCCCAGTTTTTCTAGACAACCTTCCTCCCCCAACCCTCATCTCAAGTCAAGAGAAGCAATGGGACTACCAGTGGGGTTTTACATACCTCAAGAATATGGTCCCCAGGTGCTATTCTTCCATCTGCAGCAATGACAGAATCCCGCAAGACCTCCTGAACAACAATGTTTCCAAGTGGGGTGTCTTTACCCCCAACTATCCTCATCCCCAGCTCTTCCTCCGGGTCTTCTCGGTGAATTTCAATTGTGGTCGTTTCAGCCACAAGACTAGTTCTCTGAGGGAGGTCTGATTGTGGAAATTGAAGAGAAAAAAAAACACGTTAATAGAATTTTCCTTCACATAGCACTCCAAAATTTATAACACTGGCAGGTTGTGTCCAAAGTAGCATCTGGAGGGAAAGTAGCTATCAGGAGGGAACAATAGGTCAGATTAAAAACTTAAAAAGCTCCTGTTTCTTTACAGTTTCTCCAGAATGTTTCCCATCTTCTCCTAGCTTATGGCAAATTTAAACTCTGTCATTATTATTTCTTGAGTTTTATTAAAGGGCATTTCACTTACCATTTAGAGATTTATTTTTCTACTGTGACAGCTGGCCTACTAGAAGCGCACACACAACAAATGCCCATTTCCACGATGCCCATTAGAAAAGGGGACTACTGAGCTGTAATTACTGCCATTGCGGTGACTTTACCACAGGCAGCTCACTGCAACTTCCCTCCTCTCCTTTCCTCCTCTTTTCCCATTCCCCCTGTAAAGCGGGAGTAATGTTTACGTATTTACAGCATACTGAAGACTAAGCAATGCTTCTCAGACACTTTGAAGAGGAAAGTTATTGTTAGCAAGTTTTATTAACTCTACCAGCACTGCAACATTTAGGCAGGCCCAACACTCTTAATGAAGCCAAGCGCACTGCCTGTCAGGGCGAACTGCAGCTGTCACACAAGAGATGCAAAACCTGCCCCAAGTGTACTTCGGCAAAAAGCCAACAGAGAATTAAACTGACCCGTGCATTAACTCTGGCACAGGCACAGCAGTTGCCAGCTCCAGCGCCTGCACGCTTGGAAACTGAGACTAACTTTGAAACAAGGCACAGAGATTTCCACGCTGCTGCCTTCTAACGGGGGTTGAGACAAGTGGTTCTATACTGAAGCGGAGATGGTTACTTTTATCTGCAAGGGTTTCATAACTGACTATTAATCCAAAAACTAAGCTATGCTATAAAAAACACACTTGCTGCACACCATTAGGGAGGTACTGACCACTCTAGGAAACTGACTGTATGTTTAACTTTCTTAACAAGATTAAGAAGGGGCTGGAACGTTTCCTAATTACTAATTATTTGGCTTCTGCAAGTGCTTTGAGTGCTGCGTGTTCCCATTGACAGGGACTGCCTTTGTTTCTACAAAGAATACTGCAAATATTCACTCCAGTCTAACAGAGATTCTCTGAATTGTTTTGCGCAGACCATTTTGTGCTTGTGAGCAGATCCTGCCACACCTGATGCACATGAATCCACCTCCCTTCTGCTCAAGGACTAGCTGAGGAAAGAGATTACTCCGATGGCTACTAATGGCTGAATAGCATTGAGGATATCTAAGAATGTTGGGGACACTTTAAAAATTGAATTGTCTGAGATAATTACCTTTTATGATATAAAAATGAGGTAATTACATAATTACATTTCTGTATCAAACTCTCACCTTCTTCAGTCTCCTCAAAAGCTGGATTAACCAGTCCAGGCTCCGCAGTCCCTAGTGATACCACAGCAGCTGCAGAGCTTTCTGCCACAAGTGACGATCCTCCACTTGGTACCTCTGGATCCTTGAGTGTGTTTGTCTCCACCTTGGTAGGAGGATCTTCCTTCCCTTTGGAAATGGGATTCTTTTTCCGCTGTAGTTCAGATCTGTATTTCTTGAAACCAGGACACCTAGAGAGAGATTGTCAATGACTGTAAGTGGCTAGTCTCTGCCTGTGTGGTTAACCCAGCACACGCAAGCTCTGACTGACAAAGTTACGTGAAGAAGCCTGTTCAAGACCTCATCGGCTGCAAAGCTTGTATCACAGATGCTAAAATTTATTCTCATTTGACCTTCAGCATCTACTTGTACTAGTTCAGCTTAAGAGCGGGCCTGTTATTTATTACTTTCAAAATTATTAAGCAAATTATTTAAAAAAGGAGAATGCAATAGGAACGGGAGTCTCCCTTGCTAAATATTTACCTTTAGGTGAAGAAAACAATACCTCTTAAAATATAAGCAAATACTTAGCTCTGACCTTTTGGAGATGACTATGAACTGTATCTTCATGCAAAGGAAGTGGCTCAAGTTTCAAGCTCAGCCCTGAATTAGGCTTTGTTTTTAACAAACCAGTAACATGCAAGAGCAGCAAGCGAGGCTTGCTTATTTTTTTTGCTGAATGAGACCTGACGGTCAGACAGAACTCCACCTCCAGTCCACGCAGGTGATGGCTCTACTTGAACGGGAGCAATTTAGAGGAGTTTATAATCCCACTGACTGCTCCCCACACAGAGGTTCAAGAAGTAATTCTACGTTCAACAAAATGCGCTCTGTATGCAGCTACACCACAGCCAGGCTATCTGAGCAAAAACGAGCAAGGAAAAAGAAGCTCTTTTATCAAGAGTACTTATAAAAAGGGTGGCAGGTGAGGAGGGTGGTGAATGAAAAAGCATCACTTTCAGAAACATGAGTAGTATTGGGTGTTTACCAGAGTCACTTTTCAAATTAAACTTGACTATTTACATTCTGGCTAAACAAGTCTCATCCCAGTATTACTCCCTCTGGTTTATTCCTAGTCATTTATTCTCCAAGCAGTAAGATGACCCTGAAACTTAAAGACAGAAAACTGATTGATCCAGTTGTGCACATCCCTCTTAAGATGTCAAGAAACAAATTCATTTTGCAAAGGGCAGAGAAATCCCCCCAAGAAAACAAGTTTCTAGATGCTTATTTCCTTAAGTCTCCTACCAGTTAATCTCACTTAAAACTAAAAAAAAAACCAAAACAGGAAGACCCAAATCCCAGTGTAATTTTTTTTCTTTCTCTTTTTTTTTTTGTTTTTCCCCTCCTCATTTTTCAGTCTAACTATGCTCACAGCCCAGGTTAAATAGCCTCAATTTTTAGAACACACCCTCCCCAAGGAATATACAAAGAACTATGAAATGTATAAGAGAATAAAATAGTTTCCAGTCAGGTCTCTAATGTAAACATTTAAGGGTGCCTCTCTCTTCTGTGTTTAACTCCTGTGCCAGAGGGATTAACAACTGACAGAAGTTTACTGATACCAGGGTAGATTTACAGGGCAGAGAGGAAGGCCCAGCCCTGGTATGGCCCATGGCCCCAGCTACACAACAACTGCACAGCTGGGCAGCCCTGTCCCCGTAGCCTAAGCATTCAGCCCTGCCTGATAACAAGAAAGCAGGAGAAAGAGTTAGTTAGGGAAACGAGCCTGTTGCATTTCTCATTGCCCGCTGACAAAACACACACTGCCAGCGAAGGTCTGCTTCTGTCTGCAGTAGGGCTTGTACTTAGCTCCCTTTCCTGCAATCATTAACTAGGGAGGAACAAGTGTTCTTCAAGCGCCATGGCAAGAGCTCTTTGTCACCTGCACTTATTTAAAGCTACAATATTCTGCCTGCCACCAGCTCAACCAGCAGTGGAAGCACCAAAACACACCTCTGCTGACAAGCGCAAGAAAAAAAGTCTCCCTTCCTCTGCACAAGGGGGGGAAAAAAGGAAAAAAAAAAAAACCAACCTATTTTTCATTTGCTTCTCTTTCTCAGCAAAAGAATGAGAGAAGATAATGGAATTATAAGTAGGTGATTCAGCAACTGCATAATGTGCAGCTTGGAGGGACTTACATTATTTGGATCAAAGACTTATGTATTGCACATCTTAATTGGACCAATTAAACTGGCAACACTGCACAATCCCTTGCTTCCAGAGTGTTGACTTTGTGCCTTTCTTCTCTGCGCAAGTGAAACAAGAATAAGCATGTTTATAATTTTTAGAGTCGGGTGCCCCAGATCAGGACACACAAATTTATATACATTTGATAGGTTTTGTGTCTGCAGACAACTTGCATGTGAGCAGGCAAGCACCTCACCCTTCGCCTCTGTAGCACATGTGAGCTGGCCTCCCTAACACACACACACACAATTACGTTGCCTTCACCCACCCACCTTTCTGGCCTCACCCACTGTCATCTTTGGTGTCCCATCTTGCCCCAGTTTAAGAACTGTTCTGAGAATGGATCTTTCTGGTCAGAAGCACAACAGACAGATGGCATTATACAAAGGAGCAGTAATATAATGTAAATGGGAATGCACCTGTTCTGCAGATGAGCTTCTAGTTCACACCGCTGCATTGTCTGCTGACACTCTGCCTTGAAAGGACAGAAGACAATCAGCTTATCCAACAGGTTTCGTACTAGAAGGCTGGACTTGTGGCACTGCTGGAAAGAGAGCTTTTTCCGATCCATAGGACAAAAGTTATACTCCTGCATGAAGTTTTCAAGGCACTTGAAACAGTACGTATGTCCACAGGGGGTGTCCATAGGTTGGAGCAGAGGCTGAAGGCAGATATGGCAGATGAGTTCATCGTCCACTTCATCCTGGAAGTTGTAGAGATGATTGTCCAGCAAGAGGTGGAACTGACCACACTCGCAGCAGAGTTCACTAGCTTGGGACACGTGTTCTTCTGCTACGGGATCAGCCATGATAGCCAGCATCAGGCACTCTCGGCCCAGCAGCGAGGAAACTTGTCACGTAGTAGCTGACTGACAGAGGACGTCTAATGAAAGGGAGAGAAAGAGAGATTTCCAGGCAACTGTCCGCCCTAGATCTAGCTAATTAAAAATTAAATTGTATTCCTGCCTTAAGTTCCCCCCCGGTATCTTCACCCCCACCTACCCCCCTTAGCATTCTTCCTTCTGCAGCGACCCTGTGAATGATCAACCCAGGGATCAGAGAATGCAAGGACCTTATTCAGCAAAACGTTTAAGCACATGGATAAATTGAAGCTTAAATTACTTTACACACACCAGTGACACAGACCAGATAAAACCCTGCCAAACATATGAACTAGAAAAGCTGAGACAAAAGCTGCATGTTCTTGAGGGAGAACAACCCAGAGAGGGGAGGGAAGGGTAACAAAGATAGTGATTTTTAAACTGATAATTTTTCTCTCTGGCTTTCCAGATTATACCAAATATTTTAAAGATATGTATAGTGAAACATCAGTTTGGGGACTTCTAGTTGTTTGGATTTTTGTTTTCTGTTTTTGGGGGGCAGGAGGAAAAAGAAGAGGAAGAAATTTCAAAAGAAACTTAAATCTAAACCACATTTCCTTCCTTTTAAGCCCACTCCCTTCAAAAAAAGTTTGTTTTAACAAACAATGCATTGTTCCCCACTCATCCATGCCTAAGTTCACCCATGGAAACAAATTTCCTATAAAAAGACTAAAGCTTTCTAAGTGGAAAAAATTTAAAGAATTGTCCACATTACAGTTTGTTGTAACACAAAGGCTTGAGCTTCAGCTTCTTACAGTTATGAAGAATAAGATAAGGGGCAAACTGAGTGCTTTGTAGCTGCTGCTCTACTGATTTTAATAGAGATGTCTCCAGTCCCATCCATTTTGAATCTTTCCTATTGTAATTAAATATAAAATTCACCTAAGTTTTCTAGCAGATTACTCTACAGGCACAGACTACTGCAGGAAGGATTTTTTTAACCTGGCAGTTATTTTTATGAAGTAGGAAATGTGGTACTAGATGAAGCTAACGCTCTGTATTACACAGTGGGGGGGGTTGTTGTGGTGGTGGTGAGGTTTTGGGGGTGGTGGTGGTGTTTGTTTGTTTGTTTTTTAAAGTTTATGTAAAAAATCCCAGAGTCTTTGAAGACAAAAAAATTGCAGAACTGTGATGAAGTGGAAAATTTCTGAAGACGACATGGAAAATATCTGAAAACAATTGCTTTATCTGGAACAGGTAAAAGCCTAAGCAAGAGCGAACACCAGTCTGCACCAGTGCCTGGAGGACATGGCTGGCACGCAGCAGCAACTTTGGAGGAGGGTAGGCAAGAACAATAAGATAGCAAGAACGGCAAGAAAAAATTAGTCATGGGTTTCTAATAAAAATCATACATCACTTCAATTAATTGTCAAGCATAAGTCAGCTATTTAATTAAAGGGATAACGTATCACCAACAGAATCAAGCCATTTTACAGGCGTATTTTTACCTAGCCATAGAAACTTGTTCACTTCAAAAGATTAAAGCATTACTGTCACGGTTCCAGGTGGGTACAGGGCATGAGTTGTTTGCTTCTCCTCCTGCTGCTGCAGTGCCAGAAAGCATCTTCCCCTTGAGGAAAGCACTTAGGCTGGATCTACAAACCTAGATCTTCTGTTTGCATTTACTCCTTAACTCTTGCATGACTGACTCGGCGCTCCCCAAAAGAGAAAGCACACTTCACAGACAGCACACAAGCAAAACAAAGCAGATGTATCCATGCCCTGCTCTCTTAGAAATACCCCTGTTCTTTGGTACTTACCTCCATCTGAAACAGGCATCCCTACTGTTTGCCTTATAAAAAGTCTTCATAATTATCTTACAAGCGAAAAGGAAACATTTCAACATCTGACGATCGCTTAATGTCACCCACCAATTCTAATCAATCAGCTCAGCATCAGCAGTTAATGAAACACCAGGCTGCCAAGGCAAACATCTACCAATAAGAAATACTTGTGCTTCGGGTTGTAGTATTTGCATAAAACTTTGGCAGGTGATTAAACAAATCTACTTTCTCAGTGAAAACAAACCCCGTGGTAATTTTGCTGATAAACTACCTTTATATGGGGGTTTTTCAGATTATTTACCAAATTCGTTCTCTGCTCTCTGTGTTTAAAGGTTATACAAGATGAATGCCATTTATGAGTCATTTCAAAACTCACGGAAGATAAAAGTATCCCCACAATCCTACTGCTTTTTTCTTCCCTGTAACTCTAAGCTGTTCTGCTCTCTCAATTCTAGATCCTCGAAAACAAGATGGGAAGATTTTGTTCAAAAGTGCCAAAGTAAATTTTACTTTTACACCACTGTCCTTTCAATAAGGAGGACACTCCTGCAGACACCAGGGAACCTAAGCCTGACACCTCTGTGATGAAACCCAGCCCACACCCTTCGGCAAGGCAGCAGTTAGTGAGCAGCACAGGGAGGACAGCAGGCTCAAACAAGCCTGCCGCTTGTTCAGTGATTCAGTCAGAAAGCAGATGTTCTGTAAGAGGAAAATTGCTAACATCTTATTCAGCAAAGATGCTACTTCAGCGCAACAAGACAGATTTTAAGTGTCTAGAAGATGCACTGTTTCAACATAACAGGCATGGTGCCCCTCAGCTTAAATAGACCAGTTTCAAGAGAGTCCGTCTAGAGTCCCTAGGATTCTAGCTTTGGAGGTGAAGTTTGATATATACTCAATCTTTTGCAGTTTCCATCAGATTTCAGTTACTCGTTCTAGCCTCTGAAGGTCAGACCAACCCCAGCAACCCCCTTCGTTCTTGTGTTGCTCTTCCTGTTATACCATTCCCCCTCTCCAGCTTCCTTCCAACAATGCCACCTTGAGTGGCACGTTCCCTGCTCCTGCCTTTCTCCTACTGGGATGTCTCCCTAGGCCTCGCACAGAACAGCTTACATGTTTTAGCTTACAAACGATGCACATAATATGAGGCAATCATAAAATAAGGATCTAGCTTGGTCCCAAGTTACTACTTATTGACTACATGAAAATGTTAAAGCCTGACATATACATGTTACTCTAATGGACTCCACTGTTCTAAGAGAATAATGCAAGGAATGCCTCCGGAGTCTGAATTATTTAGAAAGTAATACACCCCATTCCTACACATGACAAAGTACTGAAGGAAATAAACCAGCAGAAATCTCTTTATATTTCCCTGTTTCTTACCCTACGTGGGCTAGAGAAAAGATTTCTTCGGGATCACTTTTATCTTTACTGTATTAAAAAAAAAAATTCACTGTTGGCTTTTTTTTTTTAAGTAGGATTTCTTGTACTGTAACACTGACTCAAAGAATAGGCTTTTTTTCCTTTTTAAAGGAAGACTTATCAGCTTGTCTAATCTATTTCCCTGCCAAAGCAAGACTATTCTTGACAATATTAGCACATTGCCTATTCTTGTTTTAACTCTGCTAGGGCACAGAGCCTCAGATATACGCCCCCTCTGCACATCTACAAGGCTGCTAATAGCTCTAGTAAGGGAGTATGCCAAGAACCGCACCGACAGCGAACCACTCAGTACCATTCTTGAGGGACAAACTCTGTTCAGAACTAGTCTCCAAAGCACCCCTGGACTTGTAAACAGGACTGATCAATTACTTCTACAGCTTTTTTAAAAAATCCTTTTAAAAAAGCATAATTATCTAAGAAATCTTTCCAACGTCATGCCTCCACTTGCGCCACAGTGACTGAAAAGGAAGGGTGGCTGTGGTACCTGGCTACCCCAAGAGCAACATCCCTGCTTCCAATCTTACCATTTGAAGTCTCAGCATTTCCAAACGCAACTCTTGCTCCTTGTTTTTAAGGCGTTTCACTCTGCCATTGTTAGTGTGGAGCACAAATTATGGCACAATTCCGTCCAGGCCTGTCTGCTCATACAATTCTAGCATTTGACATGTCACTTTCAGTCATGAACATATTTACCTTAACGACATCTCTTTGAGGTATAACATGGTTGCTATTCCCATTTAAAGACTGAGAAATGACATCACGAGAGGCTAAAATACAGACCCACAGAGGCATCAACTTACGGGAATTTAACACATCTCTGAATACGATCTCAAGTGACCTACCTAAGATCACATAGGAAGCTCCTGAGAAAAAAAAACAACAACAAAAAGAAAATCAGGACTGTTTCTATTAACTAACAGATTTATAAAACCACTAGTATGGTAAGTGAGCCAGAGCACATTCTGTATTGCAAAATAAAGAAATATGCAGCCAGTCTGTAGTCAGGACACAAAACAGAAGTGTAGAATTTTTCCTAACAGATTAGGATGACTAGAGGAATGTCTCATACTGCTTTAGTTAACAAATAATTAAAAAAAGAAAAAACCTGTCAAATAACTAGTTCTCAATATTAAAAGACTACTTGTACTATGGAAAATATTTTGGAAATACAATGGGTTTATGTTTTTATGCACCTGTAGGTTAGCACTTCTATGTTGATATAGACTGTGTTATTGAAAACCCCAATATAGAAGTTGGCTTTGAGATTGCAGGGCGCGTGCCCCACGTATGCTGCTATGTAATAGTTCACTGCAATAATTATGCCAGTTATTATATTTATAGCTACATTTTCCTGGGAGACTGGAAATGCAACATTCCAACTAAAGGCTAAACAAATAATTAATTTTTTTAGGGTGGACAAAACAAAGCCAGCACATTCTGGATTAAGATGACTGAGGGCACACACCAGCAGGGCACTAACCCAAAACCCACCTGCTTATATAAAAGCAAGTTCAAGATGGATTCTAACATAGCAAACCCAGTGCTCTAGAAATAAACCAGAAGAAAAAGTGGCAGAACTTTTGCTAAACTTTCTTCAAACAGTTTTCGCTCAGTTAAGAAGTTTTGTGTTTCACAGAATGGCAATTTTTTTTCATTCTAGAGACAGAGAGAAGTACATTGCAAAAGCGTTCTGTAACA